TTTAAGTAGTCTATATATATATAGATTAATAATTAATTTTTTAATTTAGAAACTTCTGGAAGAAAAGAATCAGCTCAGAGTGAGGCATAAATTTGCAACTCCCACTTAAAAAATTAAACTTAAAAATTAGCTGCTTTCAGTTTCAAGAACACACTAGCCTAACCCCTTTATAGTGAACTTTTGTACAGTACTTCTATTATTTCCTCTTCTTCCTCTTCCAAGTGCTGCTATGACCCAAATTGTTAAAAATTGTTGTTCTTCCTTTGATCCTTGGCACTTCCAGTTGAAGTCATGCTCTTTCTTTTTGTTGACATCCACACTATGGTGTGCACAATTTAAATAAAATACAAATTTGTAAACAAAACATGTGATCTTGGGGATTGTGAATGCTTTGTACATACTGACTGACTGCAGGAATGAGACTGAATGAAAAAGGGGATGGATTTCTAAATCTCAGATTGAGAAAGGAAGATCTAGTCATAAGTCCAAACAATCATTAAGTTTTTAAGCTCTGGAAACTTTCTCCTCCTATGCAGCTAGAAACTAAATTGTTTTTACCCCTTAGGCTACAAGGGGAACTTGTATAGCAAAACCAATCAAACAACTTTTCCATTGGCCGATTTCGTTTTGAACAGGTAAGACCGATTTTTGCCAATTTAGTGTTTAAAGAGTTAAACAGGTAGGTCTTTAAGCAAGAAGTACAAATCATGGATTAAAATACAAAATAGCAAAAATAACTGTTTACTTGAATGCTGCAATTCAAAAACTGTTTTAGATTTGTAACAAGTCCAAAAAAAATAATTCTTAACCAGCAGAAATTTCTTCTTTTCTGATATTTTCAGCTGTTCATGCAGTCATCATCAGAATAAAACATATAAAATAGAAATCATCTTGATTTTTATTCTACATGTATGTAGTACTACTATGTTTACATGATATTGCTGATGACAAATTATCACTAAATATAACTGATTTTGAAGATAAATAACATTATAAACCTAGTGTCCAGTAATATATACACTGTACAAATGTTTTTGAGCTCCTCTGGAGTTCTTCAGGCAAATCTATTTCTGTGAAGCAGGACTCCGGAGGAGCCTGAAGATGTTCATGCAGTGTATATATTACCGACACCAGGCAATAGGTTTATAGTGCGATTTATATGTCATCTGGTGTAGTGTGTTCTTTTTTCGCCTGATTTTGAAGATGTCTCTTAAAATGCCAGGTACCATTGCATACAGATAATTTCCACAAAGCAGAATTGACAACTGAATAAGAAATCCTCACTAGTGGTTTTTTTTATTGTCATGGAAAAAAGTAGCTGTAGCTGTAACCAGAAATTTGACACTATGCTTGCCAGAAGTATTTGCCCACAAGAGCACTGTAACTTTGTCCTAATTTTGTTCAAATCTCTTAACAGCTTTCTCATCATTTCCAATTAAAGTGAACTTTGGTAGGCAATAATACAACAACCCACACAACATCAGCATTGTATGACTGAGTGGACACTAAATCATTATCTTCACCAATTCTTCAAAAACACTGTGGTATTTCTCTGTAGCAATATGATTGGCAGACTTCTGTTGTCCATGGATATCCAGATTTTGTGTTGTATCATTGTTTCAATCTTTGAAGTCAACCATTGGAAAAAGAACATGCAACATTCATTTTGACATTAAACTGTTTTTGCTTTTTTCAATCATTAGGCTAGTAATTGGTACTCTTTTAGAGCATTTGCATTAAACTGTTTGTACAAAGCTGTGTGTAATTGAGCCATTTTTGATTGTTGTAGACACAGTCTTGCTTCTGTACATTTAGTAGGTGCTTCACTTTTGGCTATGAATGACAACAGCATTCTTTGTTTATTTTTATGTCATGTATTGTCAATGACTCAAATTGTTAAAATTGTTCATAACTTTTCAGTTGTGTGATGATTTTCAGTTTTTTTTGTTATACTTGGTTTCACCTGTTTTCTTTTCATATCTTTGCCACTTCCACTTTCATTTTCTTTCCTTTGTATGATCAGATTACATATGTTGTGTTAATGATCACTATTGATGGCTAGTAGTCAATTCAATTCAATTCAATATTGTATAAACCTTAGTTTGTTACAAGGGGTTAAAATATTACATAAAAACTGAAGATAGTACAGTTTATGAAATTAATATAATAGCTTAGTACTACACAATAATAATTGTTTTATACATGTTATGTAAATCTGAAATTAGTAAAATTTAACAAATTAATTAAATAGCTTAGTACAGGATAACACAAAATAAAATACACTAAAATAATCATTTTTTGAGAAATGCAATAAATTAATTATATCTCTCCAGGATCATTAAATTTTGTCAAATACTTTTTCCTATTTGTTTCAAATTTGATACAGTGAAAGAACACATGTTCCCAAGTTTCATACGTTTGCAAACTACAGTTATTGCAAATTCTCTCAGGGTCTATTATTAGTCTCATGTTATATTTCAAAATATAAATTTGACCACATCTCAGCTATAGAATTAATTGTTTTACATAATTTATGTCCATACACAAATAATCCTCACACATAAGTTGTTTTAAAAATACAATATAATTGAAAATGCTCATTCTTTTCCAACAAAGACCAATCTTCTTGTATGCTCTGTTTGCAACACACTTTTATAATTAATGTTTGATAACTTATTTTTAATTGTCTACTTGGACATTACTACTACAGGTGATACAATAAAGAAAATTTTGTTTTTTCTGAACTAACTCTCATTATTGTGTCAAATTTTTAAACACCAGTACAAAGTCCTATTAATGAGTAATGTCCAAGTAGACGATTAAAAATAAATTTAGAAGGACTGTAAGGCAATTATAATTACTTAATATTTGATAACTTTTGATCAAATGAGGATATTGAGAACCATAGAAATGAGAAACCATGTTGATCTAACAGATTTTTCAATGCCATTGTCCAGTTATGTGTATAATTATCCATCATTAAACTTAATTTAGGCCTATACAGTTTGTTATACACTACTTTAACATAACTGTTATCATGTAGTTTCAACAGTCTAATCCAAAAATAAACTATCGCTTTTATTATTGATACCAATATTCTAGAAACACCAAACTCCAATTGTAACATAGAAGCTGGAATTTTATGGTATAACATAAAAATTCTTTGAAGATACAGTATAAGGCAAGAACAATTTCCATTTTATTGTGATAAGTAATTGCCTATACAGGAGCAGCATAAAGTAGTACAGATGAAATCATTGAGTTAAATAATTTTATATAAATATGAGCAGAATTAATTTTAGCTTTTGAAAGAATAGGCCACATAGAACCTAGTGCTATTTTAGCCTTATGAATACTATAATTTTTTGCCTGTAAAAATAGTCCAGAAGACGAAAATAAACTCCAGGTATACATAATTTGAAACGACTTGTGTAGGCTGATTATTAAAAGACCATTTCTCTCTGGGTGATAGTCTACCACCCTTATTAAACACCATCACTTTTGTTTTTGGAACATTTATAGTTAATCCATAGTTACAACAGAATTCCTCTAGAATTGTGATTTTCTTTTGTAACATTTGTGGAATATCAGCAAGGATTACAGCGTCATCAGTATTCAATAGTATATGTAACTCAACTTGTGTGGAACTATTCATTCAAATCGAGCAGAACTTCCAAAACTAGCAAATGACAAGGACTTAGAAAGAGGAGAGTATGATTTCAGAACATCTGATCAGGGTATCACATATTTCAAATGGAAGGAAGGACAATAGAAGTGTTTATTGTCCAGTTATCATGGAACAGAAATTGTAAATGTAAAACACACTCAGAAGAATGGAACAAAACTAGATGTGCCAGCACCACTGGCTATCAGAGATTATAATACTCATATGGGAGGAGTTGATAAAGAAGATATGTTAAGATCATTATATGATCAAAATAGAAGATTAAAGAAGTGGTGGCATTGACTGTTTTTTCCAATTATAGAAATGGTTCTTGTGAATGCTTATATAATCTTCACTGATTTGAATGAAAAAGTTCCATTTATGCAATTCAAAAGACAAGTAGCTCAGGGTATGCTAACAAAAAGGAAGAAAAACATCTTCAAATAGAGGAAGACCAAAATGAAAATCGTTAGATCAAACAACTGATCCATTACCGAAAAAAATTAGCATTATCTGTAAGCAATGATATTAGATTACAAAATCAAGGAGGACATTGGCCCGAATTTGTTTCTAAGAGAGGTTGATGTAAATATTGTGCTACAAAGCATATAGAATCAAGACCACATTCAAGATGCACATTATGTAAAGTTTTCATGTGTGTAAATCAGAAAAAAATTGTTTTCTAGATTTTCATCAATCATAAATTATTAAGCAAATGAATTTTATTGCAGTTTTGTTTTTCATTTCATTATTATATTGTAAAAATTATCAAATACATAATATAGATAATTATGTATTTAATCTGACAATTTTTCTAATAAAAATATTTTATTTATATAATATTAAACAAGAAAGGACTTGTAAGTCCCAATGTGCTCTAAAGCCTGACGGGACTTATCTGTGAACAAACACTTCTTTTGATGATAAAATGAGATAAAAAAATTTTTTTATCAAAAAATAAATATTCAGTCAATAAAGGGTTAAAACACATCCAATATATGAGAGAATTCCGATCACAAACACCAAAAGAGAATTAACAATGGAGATCAACGAAAAGTGGAAAAGGGAGTGGAATGCTGCTGAAACAGGTAGATAGTGCTTTGCTTTTATCTCATTGATACCTTTCTGGAAGAAAATCAAACACTTACACCCAGAAGCAATAGTCACACAAATATTGACGGGATATGGGAACTTCCCAGAGTACTTATATTATTTCAAGAAATGCGAAACCAATACCTGCAACTGTGACAAAGAAATGGTGGGAGACACCACCCACTACCTATTCCACTGTGAGAAGTAAAAACAGGAAAGACTGAACTTCATGGGGGAAATGCCTGACAACGGGTGTCAACTGGCTGCCAAAATTCTTGGAAATCTTGGAAAGCCAAACGAGATGGATGGCAATGAAAATTTTTATAAAACAAACAAAACTTTTACAGATAGGCAACCCAACTAACAACAATGAATATGGATTATCTGTTAATTTTAAATTACAATTATGAACTCACTCAACAGCTTATCTTTTGTCTAAATTTACTAAGAGCATCTTTACAAATTGTTTATATGTCACACATATACTTCTGCATTTTTCTAGAAATTACTAAATTAAAAACATATAAGCTTTGCCTTTAGTTCTCTCTTGTTTTTATATATCAGTCTATCGTTTAATTGATATTATTAGATAAGCTTACTTAGACTTGTATGTTGAAAGTTGGTTTTTCTATATAGTAATTCTCATAGAACTACTTAGAAGCCACCTGTTGGTTTTAATGCATATTAATATTCCATAGTAAATGAGAACAAAATGATTAACCTGTGCTTTTGAATACTGAAAATCTTTATGTGACTTTTTTAGTAAAATTAATGGCAATTACTTTATTTACAAATTATTTAATCTATATTTAGTAGTGCAATCATTCCCACTAAGAGTCACACTGATCACGTTGCTGTTCCAAATGCACCTATATCCTAAGTAGCTCTTCAAACATCAAATACTACAGATATTATCCATGTTAAAATCTTTATATATTTGATTTTTTTCAAGTTTATTTATATAGTTAATGAGACAAGTTCTAGTCCCAATAATTAATCAAATCATTTCTTCAATTGCAAATAAAGAATATAGCAAATTTGATATATTAAATTAGTAAAAACATATTAAAATTATTATTTTTTAGTAGAGATTAAGTTCAGATAATAGATCAAATTCAATGCAAGTAACTTATCTTATTAACTGCAACATGGATATATTTAAGGATATGCATTTTGAGAAAATATGAATTTTCAGTAGCTTGTGAAGTACTTCATTTACCTTAAATTTTCTTTAGATTAGTTCATTAAAAATTGTTGAAGAAGTGTTCATTTCCACTTGAAAGAAAATCCCTTGAAACTTTAAATTTAACATTTAAATAGAAGAGCTGTATTTCCCTTTTAAGAAAAACTTAAAAGAATTTCATTTTTAACAAGTGATTTTAAAAATATACCCAAAAGTCCTAGAACAAACATGATTATTAGTGATGTAACGAATATTCGGTTATTATTCGGTATTCGGCCTATTCGGCCTATTTTTCACTATTCGGCCGAATACCGAATATTTAATCACTATTCGGCCGAATACCGAATACCTAAAATCAGGAGTAATAAATAACAAAAACACAGTAAATTAATCATTTTGGTATTTAGAGTTAATGTTATAGAGTTAGTGTTGTTTGTTTATATTTATTTATAACTTGTAACATGCACAAAATAAAAAAGAAAATAATATTAGTCACATATATTCACAATTTATAATTACAAAGATCAGCACACGTACACGTCTATCGTTGGAGAATCCTCGCACATCTGAGGGTCTGACCCTGCCTATCCTTCATTTTAAGCGCTCGTCTTTGCTCTTCCCTTTCTCTTTCCTCTATCGTTCTAATCCATGTATGCTTGTGCATACATCATAATACGCACTCACGATACTTTCGATTCGTCACTTTTCCGTCGTAGAGTTTCCATTTTACAATTACGTGACTCAGCCTGGTGATAACGGAGAAAAGAGACAGATAGGACATCGATATAAGTCACAGTTATGATTTCACAGATTCGAGACAGCTCGATATCCTGAAAGGCCCCAGGCTTTCGCCCGTGCACACTAAATGACTTTCATTACAAGAATTTAGCTTTCTGAAGTCTATGACAACAATTGTTTGGCATTGACGGCTGCGAATTTCGTGCCAATAAGCTGCCTCGACTTGTTCGATTATGTTATCAACTCAATTTCATATTTATTTTCACATTTTCACTTCGCAGTCCTTCTCTTTTCTTTTTCCGTTATTTACACGTGTAGGTTATTTCATTGTTATCCACATTTGATATCATCATTTATCACATACTGCCATGACACTCTTGTCTGTCCGCTACAACTGCCAAGAATTAACGCGATTGGTGAAGCGTAGTGACCGCAGGCCAATAGAGAGCAGGATCTTTTCCATAATACGGTTTGCGCGCCAATTTTCGTACGTGCGTTAATCAAGCCGAATATTCGGCTATTCGGCCACGCTCCTAACCGAATATTCGGTATTCGGCCTAAGGCCGAATATACTATTCGTTACAACACTAATGATTATCCTTTAGTCTAAAAGAGTACATAAATTTTATTAATTATATTAATGCTAATAAGTAAAATTATATATTTTATTTGAAATTTATTGCAATATTTTATTATTTTAAAGATCTAATTTGTTTATTTCAGCATTTCTCTATCAGCTTGGAGACTGGCTTTTATATCATCCTGATCAACCTCCTCATTCACGAATATTTGTCCGTTCTCCATCAATGATGAATTTACCTTCAGATAATCTTCATATAGTTACTGCTGATGGTGTTCGCATTAATGTAGTTATGGTGAAACAAGACAGTTCAATTTTTAGTCAGGTTCCCACAATTCTTTATTTGCATGGTAATGCGGGAAATATAGGACACAGGTTAGTATTATAAATTTTTATATATATTCCAAATATGTTTATTTTAATATGTTCTAAATATATTCCACATTTGTTATGCTATTTTGTTACTCCAAAATATATTATTGAATAATTTTTAATACAGCAGGTCCTTAATTTAACAAAATAATTGGGGAAAGAGGGTGTCCTCTATTGCTGAATGTTTGTTAAATTGAATGTAAAAATATACAGTGGGTGATCGGATAACGAACACCCCACAGAACAAACACAAGAAGAAGCGATGTAAAATAATGACTACTGATTGGTCTTCCCTTGTCTTCGGGCAACAATTCATAACCTTTCGAAGTGTGGGAGACATCGACATTGACGCTCAAGCTGGTATATACCAATCGGATAGTATTCCTCCGAACTTTGAAACTCTGCCTTGTAATTCCAGCCTTTTATTTTTCTGACAAAATAATTCTTTTATGTATTCGTGAGACTGTCAGGTAGGCACTCGTTAAGTTTTGCATCTGTTTTTCTTTTTGAAAGGTGAGAGTATAATAGCAAAGGTAGAGAGTGGGCAGAAGATGCCTAATGTTGCTGGGCAGTATGGCGTGAACAGGTCTACAGTAGGCCGCAGTTCAATCTTATTTAAGAAAAATACTGTATAATCAAGAAGATTTAAGCAGCTTAAGGAGTAACAAAAATCACATCTGAGAATTAAAAAACATTGAAGAGCTCATAATGGAACCTGAAACGGATCTGACGACAGAAGAACACCAAGAACTCTTGAATGAAGAACACCAAGAAACTCAGCAAGATGTTTTCTTCTGAAAAAGAGGATTAATGCCGATATCTGTTATTAAAGATCCTTTGAAGAAGTGGGAGGATGTCAGAACAACGGTCTTAGAATGGCATCCAAAGCAGGTTGAGGCTTGGATATTTCTGCAATTGCAATGCTATTAATTACTTATGAAAAATCCCGAAGAAGAGAGAAAAGCAATCGACATTGGACGGATTCTTTAACCCTTTCAAATGGAAAAAACATGACTAATAAAAATGCAAGACTGTGTATGTATGTATGTATTTTTATTATTACACTAGCAGACCCCACCATGCATTGTTGTGGCTCAAAATGTGTCTATTATAAATGTATAACACTTCTTCCATGGGAGAAAATTTTTCAAAAATTCCTTCTTAGTGTACATTCTCTTGACATACCCTATTAAAACGCAATCAAAAATGCAAAAACCCATATCTAAAATAGTATAATAGAAGCCAAGTTCTTCACGGTAAGCCTTAATCCTGTCCATCTCCCCCCAGTGGGGGAATTTCCACATGTATATTATGTAAAAACACATGCGTATTCAAATGCAATGTTGTGTCAAAATTTCAAAAGAATCGATAGGAACAAACGAACATTACATTTTTATTCATATAGATAGATAGAAGCTGTGAGGATGCTTTTTAGTTCATACTCACAGAAAAGCAAACTTAGGTTGTTGTACTCGTGGAGTTAGCGCCATCTGTTGGACATAAAAGCCTTAACCCTAGATGATATCTTTTAATTTATATGAATGTTTAACGGAATAATATACAGCCTATGTCCACCCTGAAGTTCCATTCTAAATATTGGTGAAAGAATTTTTGAAATCGGATGAGTAGTTTCGGAGATTATCTTCTACATCCAAACTTACAAACATTACCTCTTTATAATATAGTATAGATATAAATAAACGTAGTAAGAAAGTATATATTTTTTTATTTTGGGGGTCTCTGGAACAAATTAATTAAATTCCCATTGAAACCTATGGTAAATCGATAATCGGTTAATGAACAATTCGGATAGCAAACAAAGTCTTGGAATGGATTATGTTCATTAACCGATCACCCACTGTACATTAATAATGAACTTACAATGTACATTATGTACAGCTGACCCCCCTATAATGCAGTAGATATGTTCCTCTTTATAAGAATTTCACATTGTAGGAATCCTTAAATACATGAGCCAATCACAGCCTGGCACGTGTGCAGTTTACGGACTATGGCTGTTTGAAAGGTTTTCTTCTATAAAATTAACCGATTCTAGACTAATTCGACTCAACATTTCCAAAACACGTATAATTTTTTGGGAATAATCAGTTATACGTATTATTCCCATATAAACTATGCTATATAAACAATATAAACAATGCTATATAACTCAATATAAACTATGCTATAAACAAAAAATTGTAGGAGTGTGCACAGTTTGATGATGCCATTGCTTAAGCTTGTTTTCGTCGCGGAGTAGCGCATCGAACAGCAGGCGCGTTTTCTGATAAGTTATTTTTTTGCGAAAAATTCACTGAACTTTGGAGACATCATTAATAGAAATAATTTTTATGGCCGTTGAATAAGAAATGTTTTTTCACGAGAAATGTATAAAAATACAGTACTGTATTAGATTTACAGTAACTAATTTATATACTGTACAGACGATAGTAAACTCAACTTACCCGCCTAAACTCTCTGTAGCGTTTAAGTAGTTCAGCTGCTCGTCCACTATTGGTCCAGATTTGGCCAATTCTGTTGCGACACGAGTCGGCGATGACATTTACCGCATTTTACGAGTCTCTTTTAGTGTCTTTATACGAATGTGGTTGCAATATTTTTGCAGCGATATATGAATCTGCATTATATGAACCCGCGTTATAGGGGGGTCAACTGTATTAAAATATTATAATAATACTTTACTCATATTTATATGCTATAATTGACTTCAAGCAATTTATATGTACCACGAAAACATCTGTTAAAAATATAAAAATAAAATATGACTGGAATCAAACTTTATTTAATTGAAAACATCAAAACTATACAATTCATCTAATGGAGTGTTTTTGCTATCAATGCTAATTTGTTGAATGAACATTTTAGTGAGCTTTAAATTTGTAAATAATTTTTTATTTTTGCCCATCAAATCCAAAGTTTGTTAAATTGAGTGCCTACTGTAATATATGTTGGAGTAAAAAAATAGAATAATTTTAATTTTTATGCATTCCTTATACAGTAATACCCTGAACTTACGCGATAGGTGGGACTGAGCGATAATCGCATAAGTCAGGGTATAATTTCGCAATTTGTGTAAAATCCAAGTCGGATGTATGTAAGCTAATAAATGTTCTCGTTAATCTTATCTCGTCATTTGATTTGTTCACGGTTACAAGAAATAACCACATAGAGTCTCTCAAGTCTCCATAGATATAACAAACACAGAAATAAATAACACAAAATAAATTGTAGCTATGCGTCTATTCCGTGCAACACGTCCAAACATGTAAGCTGAACAATAGTGTGGGGGGAGTGAGTAATCGAGAGTTGCGTGGCACTCAAACAAAAGACAAATCGATGAGATTTGAAAATCGTGTAACTCTGAGCTTGCATAAGTCAAGGGATTACTGTATCATCAAAAACCCACACTTGAAAATGCCAAAAAGTTATATTTTGCTATTTCTAATATTTAAATGTGTCATCAGATTATACTAAAACAACATTCAGTAAATATTTCAATACCAATAAATCAAAACTGATTATTTTACTTTATTATTTATTCCAGTAAAGCTGATTATTTAACTTTATTATTTATTCCAGTAAAGGTCAGGAAATTTTCTATATATTAACTCTCTGATTTGTTAATATCATTAACAAGTAACTCATGGATTGTCCTTGAAATATTAACAATATCATATGATCTAATAATTATCTTTATCTAGTTGAGTATTAAATTACTTTATCATATTTTCAAAAGTCATAAGTATTAATAATTATTACAAACAAATCAGGATGGTTCATTTCTTTAAAATTTCTAAAATAAATAATATATTTAAGTTATTTACTTCAAACTTATCATATCTTTTGTTCACTAAATTTCCATTTTTAATAATTTACAAAAAATTGCAGTATTACATAACTGTTACTTAATATCTAATTGTGAATAATTTTTAAATAATGACAATTACTCATTAATAAAAAACTTTAATGATATAGTCACTGCCAACATACCGGTGATTGGTATTTTTTTTAACAATTGATGATTGGAAAAAATTTTAATAAAGAAAATAATATTGATTAGCTTGATATTACATTTTGTTTTGTGAAAGAAGAAAGAAAAATCATATGTTCTGAATAAAAATTTAAAAAATAAAAAACAATAATAATAATACTGGTTAAGAAATTGATCTAATTTTATTATTAAGTCAATAATATAGTTTTTTTTACAAGATTCAAATTATATTTAATAAAATAAATAAAGCATTACAAAACATTTTTTTATATTGAATGTATATATTTTTCTAGACTTCCCAATGTTCATGGTCTTTATCATTTTTGTGGATGTAATATTTTACTTTTAGAGTATAGAGGATATGGTCATAGTGATGGAATTCCAAGTGAAGAAGGTATTTATCACATAATTCACATTGTAATAATTAACAGAATTATTAATTTTATTAAATTGCTTTTTTTTTTTTAATTTTTAGGACTCTATTTTGATGCTCAAGCAGGTTTAGAGTTTCTTTTAAAACATCCCGGTATTGATACACAAAAAATTGTGGTCTTCGGACGTTCTTTAGGGGGAGCAGTGGCAATAGATCTTGCAAGCCGTCCAGAATACAGCAGTCGTATCATGACGCTTATCATTGAAAATACGTTTACTAGCATTCCAGACACTGCCAAAGTACTTTTTAACTGGAGTATAGTAAAATGGTTACCAGTGTGGATATTTAAAAGTCAGGTATTTTTAATAATTATATTCCTATCATACATGTTTTATTCTTATTGAAAAAGACTATAAAAGAAAATTTTATTATTTTCATAGTTCAGATCTATAGATAAGATTGTTAAAGTATTAGTACCAACTCTCTTCATTTCTGGATTAGCAGATGCAATAATTCCTCCTCATATGATGCAAGAATTATATCAGGTAATGATGGAAATAATTTCAATGTCTCTAATTGTCAGATCAGTAATTCAATTATAATTATTTACATCCACCCTGTATACGATTAGTTTAGGTTGTCATTTTTTTAAGGATCTAAACAATTCTTATATTAGAAATGATTTAACATTTAGTATTACAGGTGGCCCTCAACTTTTGCACATTCTACTTTTACACAATTCACTATTTCACACATTTTTAAAAATTCAAATTTTTAAATATTTTTGTTGATAATGAAAAAATTTGCTTCCATGCAGAATGCTCATACACTATAAAGTGCAGTAGCTTGCCCTATATATCAGTTACACATTACTTCCTACAATAACGGACTTCTCGGAATCATAATCACTACTGTGTTGTTCTGAGCAAGTGGTCAAAACAGTTTCAGTCTTGCATTAGGGCATGAGTCAACCTGTTGTGTGCTTTGTCAATTTATTTGTTTATGTTTAAATATTTCATCCTTATAAATTGATAAACATGAGTAAGAAATGAGAAACTGCAGTGTTGATACAAACAAAAAGAAATTAAGGACTCATAAACTTCATACAATCGAGACAAAGATGGAAATAATTAAACATTCTGAAAACGGTGAATCTTTTGCTTTAATCGGATGTTTGTACAATGTAAACAGATCTACGATATGTTCAATTTTGAAAAATAAGAGTAAAATTAAGGAATACATTCAAAATTGTGGAAATATATTTTCAAAGATTGTTTCCAAAAGACACGGCATAGTGATGGATGAAATGGAAAGATCTTTGTCATCGTGGATTGATGATCAACATCAAAATAATGTCCCTCTGAGTTTTTCAATTATTCAAGCTAAGGCTCTTAGTTTGCATGAAGATTGGAAGACTAGATTAATTAAATGAAGATTCTAACACGGTGTTTCAAACAAGTAATGACTGGTTTGACAAATTTAAAATGAGATATTCTTTACATAATATTAAATTCACTGGAGAATTAGCTGATGCAGATAAAGATGCTGCGAAAGAATTTATTTTCCTCATTGTTTAAAATTATTGTAGATGGAGAATATTCACCTAGCCAAATATTCAATGTAGATGAGAGAGGTTTATTTGGGAAAAAATGCCTAATTGTACATTTCTATCGAAGCAATAATCAGTTGCCCCTAAACATAAACCTTCCAAAAACCAATTGATATTGCTTTTTGGTGGAAACTTAGCTGGTGATTTAAAATTGTTGTTAGTTTACCAAGCGGAAAATCCCAGAGCATTGAAAGGGAAAGATAAAGAATTGCTTCCAGTCATTTGGAAATCAAATAAAAATGCCTGGGTTACTGTGTTAATATTTAAAGATTGGTTCACTTTTCATTTTGTGCCGACAGTTAAGCAATATTGTAAAAAAAATAATTTACAATTTAAAGCATTATTAATCTTAGACAATGCCCCAGGACACCCAAAATCTCTCCAGAATTTGTACCTGGAAATCAATGTTGTGTTTCTTCCTCCCAATACTATCTGCCTCATACAGCCCATGGACCAAACAGTGACAGCTACGTTTAAATGATATTATGTGAGGACAATAATGACTAAGGCCATCAAGACAGGGAAAATGGGCCAACATTAACAGATTTTTGGAAGAACTATAATATATGGAACACAATAAACAATATTGGAGACTCATTTTTCTGAAATAAAAGAGTCGACAATGAAAGGTTCCTGGAAACAATTATGCCCACAAATGATGAGTGATTTTATAAATTTTGAAAAACACTGGAAACTATCACAGATGAAATAGTTAGCCTAATGCAATGTTTTTCAACCTGTGGGTCACGACCCCCCTGGGGGTCGCGGGTAAAAGAAAAAGACAAGTGTTTGTAGGTCCTATACTACATTAAAAAAACTACAATTTCAGCGAGAAGGCTGTACCTGTTTATTATACAGTACAGTTGGTTTTTTGATTGACATTTAGGTCCGAATGATGGGTGTCGCCTGGGAGGGGCCTGGGTGGGTACGGCCCACCATAGAAAATGATTGCTGAAAAAGTGTTGAGCTGACTTGTTATTATAAGAAGGAAGTAACATACTATATACATGTGGAATGTGAAACGCGATCTGCTGACGAGAGACGAAGGGGCTGGGAGAGGGAGTCGAGGAGAGGGAGGACGACGAGGGCAGAGAGAGGGGACGCGACTTCAGAGGAGGACACCGAGACGACGGTTGAAGAAGAAGACGCGCGAAAAGACGGAAGACGAAAAAGAAGTCCTACATTTGTGTTTTTAATTAATAATCACAATACTTTCATGTAATCTGTATTCTTTAAAACGTTCCTGTTATCAAAGTCTTTCTTATCTCAATTAAAGTTTTTTAAAAGACAAAGAAAAGTCTCACATACATGTCTTAAGTTATTGTCAATTCTCCTCAAATTCTCATTTTAGTCATCAACAGTAATTTCTCTCAACAGAAAGAAAATTAAATACATAATTTTTAAATCACTGATATAATTTTAATATGGCCCTAGGGGAGTCGCCAGAATTTTTTAACTTGTAAAGGGGTCACGTATTCAAAAAGGTTGAAAAACACTGGCCTAATGAATGAACTAAACTTGGATGTCAACAATGAAGATGTTAACAAGTTGATTGAATCTCACTCAGTACCTCTGTCAAATGAATATTTAATTGAGCAATAATGAAATACACAATGAAAGTGAGTCAGAAGAAGCTGATAAAAAAGTCAAGACTTTGACAATTAAAAATATAAATGAAGCCTTCACACATCTTGACAAATTTTTGACTATCACGGAAGAATGTGATCTCAATGGAGAGCATATATCTCAAGTACATAGGGCAATTGAGAAAGACACAACATGTTATATAAATCTATCAAGAAAAGAAAAAAAAAGGGTGGTATTCAACTAACTCTTGACAAGTTTATAAAGAAAACACCTGAAAGCACTTAAATACGCCTCAAACTTTATTATGTATACATATTGATAAATAAATACTTTAAAACACAGTTTTTGGTGCATATTTTTTTTTACATCCCTCTACTTTCAAACATTCAACATTCGCACACACTTTCAGGAACCAATTATGTGCGAAAGTCGAGGGCCACCTGTAATTGTTTTCAAATATTTTAGAATAATAAAATTCTAAGTCGTATCTATCAAATCAAGTAACTAACACCTTATTCGTTGCTGAGGGAGTTTATTAAAAATGAATGTTTTTGATCTACTCAATAGATCATCTTCAGGTTAGAACATACAAAAATGTAATACATCATAAATGGAACACACGTTTAAAATTCAAAAATACCAAAAAACCCATAACATAACAACTAATTGTAATAAAAACTATTTGGTTATGGTGGATTGTATTAATGTTTAGCCATTGTAGTATGTTATTTATTTTTACACGATTTAATATTTATTCCAATTAGTTGTTATGTTATGGGTTTTTTTGGTATTTTTGAATTTTAAACATGATGTTCCATTTATGATGCATTACATTTTCGTATGTTCTAACCTGAAGATGATCTATTGAGTAGATCAAAAACGTTCGTTTTTAATAAACTCCTTCAGTAACGAATAAGGTGTTAGTTACTTGATTTGTTCATTTTGCTGAGTACACTTTTGTTCAAAGTCATATCTATCTCTATTTTGTGTGTAATTTCACTTCATCTTTCATTTAAAAAAAAATTTAAATACAATGGTGCCTTGTGTACTTCAAATTTAATTCATTCCAGGAAACCATTTGAACTCTGAAGTCTGAATCAATTTTCTCCATTAGAAATAATGAAAATTTATTTCCAGATTAAACAATATCCATTTGGATAAACTTAAAACAGCAAATACACATAATTTAAAGTAAAAATAACACAATTAAAGGCCCAAAATAATAAATAGAATTTTATTTATTATTTTGGGCATTTAATTGTGTTATTTTTACTTTTGACATTTTCAATTCAAACATTCAAAGTCTTGACTTTTTTTATTTTGGGCATTTAATTGTGTTTTGTAAACACTATTAAAAAAGTAAAATTGCATTTACTGTTTCTTAGTGAGGTACTGCTTGTACTGCTTTCATGCTTCACAATAAGTGATGATCCATTCTTAAGTCACTATGCAGCTTGGCATCATCATTGAAAATACATTGACTTGTGATATCATCTCTTGGAGATGATATCACAAGCCAATTGCTTTTCATTGAAAACTTTTCCAAGTGTGGATAAATCTCCTCAATAACACATGATCTCCTGGAGGTCAACGTTGTTATGTCTTTAGTCACATTTGTTGCTTTTATTTCTTCTTAAGAATGGTAAAAACCATTTATTTTAATATCTTAAATATGGCCAGCAGATCCACCACACTTGTACTGCTTTCATGCTTTGCAATAAATTTCCATTTTTTCACCTGTCATTTATATTACAACCTCCCTATTAGGCTTTGTTGCTTCCACACTTTCCTTGGATGTTATGATTAATAGGTAGGGGTTATATGTATAGATGAGTTCACAGAGAGAGCAAGAATTGACCTGGGCACATGACAGATGGCATTTACACAGTGAATGCATTTACACAGTGAGTGCATTTTTTTATTCTGCATATAGTTCGAATGTAGAAGCATTGTTTAAATTCTGGAACATTTGGAGTACAAGCAATATATGCTGCAATAGATCAATATAATCTTTACATGTAATTCGTATTTCATTTAATTAAAAATTTTTATAGATATTTTCTTTTAAAATATACTCTAGAAAACAAACAAAAAGTTTAAACCAATATTTTTGTTACAAATAAATTTTATTCAATATAATTAATTCAAATAATGTGGATATATTGTATTTTCATTTGTTTAACTCCAATTTTTCTGTCTTTAGTTTCATTATAGGATAATAATTGTTTAATATTAATATATAAAAACTTTTTGATAAACAATCTTTTCCTTGGAAATGTTATGACCATGTCTAAAATAAAACAAAACATTTTTTCTGTCATATTTTTAAAATTGTTAAAAAACTTTGATTAAATGATTTTGAAAATGTCAAAATTATTTTAAATTTTGTTGAAGGCATCGAGGAGCAAAATGAAACAAATGGCAGTATTTGAAAATGGAACTCACAACGAAACATGGCAATGCAATGGATATTACAGGACTATAAATTTGTTTTTAGATGATGTAAGTTTGACTTTTTTGTTTTTTTTTTTATTTCCAGATAAGGAGGAAATTTTATTATTAACAAGTCTTTTTCTTTTTAGGTAATGTTATCAAAACATCAGAATCAAGTATTACAATGGCCAGTAAGCCCTCATCATGTTAAAATGGAAATAATTTAAACAAAATATTTTTTATTTAAAATAAACTGAAAATCCTCACTATTCCTTTATGAACTGTTTATGAAAGACAGATTTAACAAATTTTGTCTACAGTTGTAAATAATTTAAAATATTTCACTGTTTCATATGTATATAATGTATTTTTCTTAAACTTTTCAAATGTAAAAAACAAAGAAAGTTTATAAAAGCAATTTACACATCATCATGTCATTTTGTTTTCATTAAAATTAAAATTGTAGCAAACTAAATTTAATGATAAATTAAAAGGCTAGTCTGTTAGTTACAGCTATAATTTAAAGGGCTTATCACATCAAGATGAGAAAGGAATACAGTCACTAAATAAACAAACACAAATTATTGGGCTGCAGTTTGAAAAAACTGTAGACCTATAAATTCCCACTGTTGTTCGTTCGTCTGTCTGTCTTTCCTTAATCTTGAGAACAGAGTTAGATAGATGAAATCCAAGACCAGATATGGAAACCTTAGGAGCAGGAAGCCCCAATTAAGTATATATGAACTTCTGATGCAAACTGGAAGTCATGTTATTTCAATTCAAGAATTTTCCCCTGAAAGGTGTTAGATAGATGACCAGCACAATTGTATTGTTAAAGGAAAAGTATGATGTATGGGGGCAAGCCACTACTAATTTGAGGTAGAGAGCATATATTTTAAATGAAATAAATTAAAAGTTGCAGCCTGGCATTGTGACAATGTCACAATAATAATTGCTCATTTAAATGTATCTTTAATTAATATAGAAAATGCATTTCAGGTACTCAGAGCACTCATCAGTCCATTGAAGGTTAGACATATTTATTGTGTTTAATACTATGATATATGTAAAATATTGTAACAAACCCAGTTTACAGATTGAAAATATCACAAATAATACAGTGCATTGTGTATACTATTACTCTGTTAATTAAATAAAAAATTAAAATTAAAACTATATTTAAATAATTTATGTTTGGTTATTTATTGATTGTATTCATTTCTCATGTTGATGTGATAAGCCCTTTTAATTATAGCTATAACTAATAGGTTAATCATGTATAGTTAACTTTGGGGCTAGAAGCATACTTAATTTAGTCACTAATAAATTTAATGATGCTAGCAATATTTATTTATTAAATACAATGGCGTGTATTAACATTGGATGATAGGAAAGCTGTTTCCATAAAAATTATTTTTAAATACTGGAAATGACAAAAATAAAGTTTATTTATTGTAATTCTAAAATAGATACATTGACATGAAACAAAGATATAAGAACTTGTTTATGAAAATAATTGCACAATATGTATTATATTTTAGAAAATACAAGGGAAGTGTCACCCACAGCTTCCACGGACTGCACATCACTGATAAAATAGCCATTTATTGGATAAAGCAATTTTGTTAAATCTTCCACCTAAAATAATGACTCTATCTAGTAACACACATCAAACCTTAAATCAAGAAGCCAGTTTCTTAATTTGAAATGTTTTTGAGTTTTAACTTCTCATCAACAGTGAGCTGGAAACGTTCTAATAGAACAACAGATTTTTGAACCATTTTTTAAATTCTAGAAATACAGTATTAAATTTCTCCTGTTTGTTTTTTCACTATTCATTTTCAATCAAAGAGCTAATCTGATCTGAGTTATTCATTCTTATAAAGCCAGTCATCTAAGAATTTTATCCACTAAATATTTGACAGTTTTAGAATTCTTTCCATTATTATTATTTTCCATACTTCAGATAATTTGTCTGCATCATTCTTGTTCACTACTCCATGATTTAATTAAGCCTGCTTCATAAATTTAATACTGTATTGGCCTGAATATTAGCAAATGTTTTTTCAGTTTTAAAAGTTTAAAAAAAAATCACTCTCAACCTATATTCAAGTCTGATTAAAGTATTCTTTGTACAATGCATAACATAAGACAGTTATCAAAATCAGAGTTAAACTGGCAGAAAAATTTGGTACATCAGCCAAGTTGTGACCTATGCAAGAATGAAGTGTTTGGCGCGATTGTAAATACAGTAGTCTCGAAAACTTGGCCTAATGTGGACCGAAGGGTAGCTGAGTTTGTGAAAAAGCCGGGTTATCTGGAATGGGGTTAAAAAAGAATAAGTACGAGTGTTTCCTCAGAAAATACTGTACTGTACTTGTATGTATTGTTTACTTGAGAATACAACAGAGAATAAACTGCCCAAATACACCTTAAACAAAGGAAAAGTACCTCCTTTATGAAGGCATAGAGCCTTTACTACATGAAAATGAAAATTAATGAATACACTGTGTACAGTAATTTACCTGATAAGACAGACCTCAGAAAAATACTTTATGAGGCATAAAGCTGTCTATAATGAAAATTAATTAACTAAGGATTTTTTTGCCCTGCCAGGGTGTGACAGAGTTATCCAGATTGCCAGGTTATCGAGTGCCGAGTTTTCGAGACTCTACTGTAATTGCTTAGTTAATGAAACTAAGCTGTTTGTTCTTGTCGTATTCAACAGGATCAGTTAGTTTTGGTAACTTCTTTATTTTACTCCTAGGAATCTACTAATCTAGCGATCATCAAAAATTGGGTGGAAAGTTGCTGAAAATTTATTGTGAAATTACTATTCTAATCAATATGGTTATATATGTTTTACACCTTATAAAAAATGTTTTAGACAGTAACGAAGAAATAAGACAAGCAAAAATCAAAGTTTGGTTTTGTTTTCAAAAGTTAAACTGTAAGTCTGCTTTCTGAAATACATGTGAAACAAACAACGAATTCTACTTTCCTGGTATGATGTATATGCCAGGCACCTTACTACTAGGTTCATAGGAAATTGCCTCAATTTTGCTCTATAACTTTAGACGATTATGTTTAACTGCACAACATCGGGATGTAAATAAAACTTACGACTCACCAACCAATCAACCGGTGTGAATAACGTTTAAGTGACGAACGTTTCTTCTAGACACTTCTTCGGGTCAATTCTTATTTCAAGTAGACTGGCCGTTGACAATCGAAAATAAATCGAATGGTACGGATTTCGAATACAGTATGCCCATGCGTTCTCCGTAAGATGTTTAAAAAAACGTCGAACATTGAGTTGGAAGGCAGACTACTGCACATGCGTACGGTTCAAAATACGATTAAAAATTAAACGTCTTTGTCAAATATAGCCTGCCATGCCATCGACAGACACATCTCCTGCTTAAAATTAACGCACATGGTTCTGCTGCAGGCTTTAAAAATTTCGATGGCCTCGAACCATTTGAGGTGTTCCGGGTGCGAGGTGGTAAGGATAATTCTGGAGAGAGCGGTCGTACTCCTATGCTGTATGTCAGATTTATGTTCTCGTAATCTGACCCCCATTGAACGTTTAATGGAGCCAACGTAAACCATTTCCCTATCACACCTGTTGTCTCTGATAGGGACGTTAATAAATGCCCGGTAGTCTGTCGGGGTTAGGAGGGTCTTTTCCATTGCGCAGTATGTTGAAAATGGATGGGCACCTCCTGTAGGCAATAGTGACCCGACGTCTCTTGGCAATTGTGTTGTACAACGATTTTTAAATGAGAGTTAAAAATGATGAGGATCCTCTCCTTATCCTCTTCCTGTTTATCTCTCGGTATTTCGGTAGAACCGGTGAATGCTTCTTGTGTACGTCTGTGACACTCACATAATCTTTGTACAAGGTGGTCGTAACCATGCATTCTGGCTATCTCTTCTATAAGTTTTAAGTCTTCTAGTTTTCTGCCTTCCAACTCAACTTAATGTTCGACGTTTTTTTTAAACATCTTACGGAGAATTCATGCGCATACTGTATTCGAAATCCGTACAGTACCAGTCGATTTATTTTCGAATGTCAACGGCCAGCCTACTTGAAATAAGAATTGACCCGAAAAAGTGTCCAGAAGGGGTAACGAAAACGTTCGTCACTTAAACGTTATTCACACCGGTTGATTGGTTGGCAAGTCCTAAGTTTTATGAGATGATATGTGATATTATTAAATTTCAACTTTCGATAGTTGACACTATCGAAATAATGAAGAAGAACTATTATCAGAAAGTCACATTTATTTTAAAAAAAAATTTCATGTTTAAAATTGTCTGGGTTAGAAAGTGTCTGTAGAATATAATGTGTGACATATTAGTCATAATGAACATTACGAGTTAAATTAGCTAAAGATAATTTATATTATTCAAGTTGCAGTATATTACAAATCAGAATGTTCAAATATTTCCCACATTTTTCATCAGATGGCAAGTAGTAACCATTGTTCTAAAATTATATACGAAATCAACATTAATTAAAGGACTTTACGTTTAACGTAAAGTACAATATTTTAATACTTCAAAATCTATTTGTAAAACATTGATTTTCAGTAATTCAGCGCTTCTGATTAGTTTTTCTTGCCGTGGCGCGTATTTTAAACAAATTTCTGACAATATGGTCATTCACTAGAGCCGATCATTCATTGGTGCAACTACCCTATATCTCATCAAACACATTTCGTACATGAAAGTATGGACCAACCAATATCAGCATGTAGCTGTGAGATTAGCCGGGGGGCCAAGGGGCGATCCCTAATGACCACTTAATCGGAACGGGTTGGTAAAACTCGATCTCGTTGTCACCGGATGGGCTTCGCTAAATTGTCGGCGGGATTGCAAGATCCGGCCAATGTCAGGATGCTGACACCAGTTAAGATAGAGTTAAACGCGTCCTAACCCGCAAATTGTGAACAAAGGTTGAATAGGAGGGTCTAAATTATCGAGTGGGATGTCGGTGAGAAAGTCGATAGGTTCCGAGAAATGAAAGGCTGTCAAGTTTATAAACATCACGTACGTTTAATAACTAGCTAAATCTAGGGTTACAAGAGTTACAAAATACACAACTAAATGTTACTCGTAAATGCGTCGCTTCGCGAGGTGCGGTCTCGGTTTCCTATAAACTAATATAGAACACGGAGAGAAAGTTTATAAATTTGCTACTTCAAATACATCTGAGAACGATGCTGTTCTCTGTCATGGTTGAAGTTGAGCAGTGATCGATGCCTTCCCTTCTTATAAGGCGATTCGAGCCGTCATCTTCTAGGGGAAAGTCCGATTAAGGCTGTTCCAGATATGGGGACGAGAATCTTCTTCGTTCGTGGAGTTTGCCGTGTGATTGCCGTCCTGCCAGTAGGAATGGACTCCGTTGGGAACAGGGTGACTGGAGATATTCGCCGGTATATGGCTCCTGTTGAAGTCCACTCCGACTTCAGTTCTCGCCTCCCTTTTATCTGATTTAGCCTGGGAAAACCCATCAGGTGATCGGATGTTTAGCGACGAATCTGCAGGTGTGCGGTCAGACGTGATCCAGGGAGACAGAGGTGGTGTCGAAACGGGACGTAGAATCAGTGCTGTGCGATGTCTATAATTTTAACATCCATGTTTGCCTAAGCATCGATGCTAAATTTCGATGTCGGATTTCACATCGATGTTTGATCGATGCCCATTGGAACATCGATGTTCAATCAAGATAAACTCAAACAATTTAAAAAAAAAACAAAACCGGGTTTGTTCGAACAGAAGTTCCTGACGCATGCGCAATGTCATTTTACAATGCGAAGAATAACGTGCATGCCGGTTCTAAATCAGTTACAGTTAGGGACTAGGGACTTGCGTAGGAGTAACGTAAGTAACCTAAATTAAGAAAGAACAGGTACAGATAACTTAGCTCTATTTGATACGTGTACGATCGTACATGCAAAAAAAAGTCGACGGGGTTTTTTTTTACTATTTCCGCCCTGTGGGCACTAAGAGGGCCTTTTATAGCAGGCCCATTATGGGTTCGGCCAGGCCCACAATGGGGCGACCGGGTGGTGAGGGACGGGGCCTGACATATCCGAACAGACCACCCCCCGAAAAATTCCTGGGGATTCCTTGACCCGTCCGGATTCGATCCCGGGTCCCCCAGAGAGGTAGGCTGCCACCTTGACCGTTGGCCATCCGGCCTCAAAGTCGACAGGTTGCGCGCCACAAGTCGGCGTAAACAGACTAACATGGCAGAGTTGCGGATGAGTTTCAATGAGTGAGTTCATTCACTGTTAAAATAGTGTAAATTTGTAAACATATTTGCGAGAACTTTGTTTTATCGCAATTTCACAATTTCTACGAAATTCCCGGACTGTCCGGGTGAAAACCGAACAGGTGGTAACATTAGGAACAAAGAATGAACTGCATGCATCGATGAATCGAAATTCACATATTGCTAACATCGATTCAGGATCGATGTTTCAAAAACATCGGAAGGTCGATGCATCGACGAACAAAAACATGGGTGCATCGCACAGCACTACGTAGAATGTAATCTTTGGTTAGTGCAACGTTAGATTCACGGTCGAATGTTGACGTTCTCATCCCTTTAACAATAAATTGTTATACTTCCTTCTCAGTTGTTGACGAGAAAGATGATATTCAATACTTTTTCATCGCGGTGTTTTCTTAACGCTCGCGATGGAGAATTAGGCTTAACATTTTCGTGAAACAGCAAAATCAAGTGCTCAATCTCACATAGCAAACCCTCTTCCTCTGTTCCCAAAGAAGCAGTTGGCTTTAGTTTCATAAAAATGCAGATATTCTGACGGCAGAAACCTGATGATGCCTCAAAACTTTTTCTAATCTAATGTAGATTTTGGTTTTGTAGTGAAACAAATGTTACCAGATTCCAGCATTGCGTAAAAGGTATGGAGGGATTTACGTAGTTTCCTGTTTTGGTATAGCATCCTATTTACAATCTCTTGAAAGAGCAAAGTCAAAGTGAATATATGTTATTTATTTAATGAGTCCTTAAACAGTGAATTAAAGAAAAAACAACTTGATAATGTTAGTGAGATTTTGGAGTGGTGAGCAGGTTACTAGTCGTTATTACACATTGCCTTTTTGAGTCATAACACTGCTGTTGATCTTCTGCAAGTTCTAAAATCATGTTGATGAAGATATTGGTTTTGCAAATCTCATACAGGCTAATGTAAATTGCTCACTTTATAATGAGCTTGAAACTAACGCAGAAATCATGGAAAAAGCTTATTATAGGATCGTATAAGTTGCACATAGTACTTCGAGTAGGGTGAAATGTAAGCAGTTGGAATGTTGGGAACTTTCTTACTTCTTTTCACACCTTGTTTGATAATGTGCCTGTATAATGTGAGGATTATAAGAGGAAATTGATCCAACCTTGTAATCTTAAGCTTTCTTCTCATAGGGAGTAGAAAATGTTATTGTTACACATAAGGCTGTGGTAATGTTCGATAATATTGATGAATGCATCAAAGCAGTAGAAAAAAAGAAATGCACCAATCCAGGAACTAAATCATATGATGGTGTTTAAATAGGCAAAGAACCCTCTTGCAAAAGAGGGCTGCTTGCTTTTTTTTCACTTTGTAGTAGTACCTGTTGAAGAATTTCTCCACAAATATCACATAGACAAACTGTCAAATTTTTTTGGCCAAAGATCTGGAAATCTTGCATAAAAGTGTCACCGGTATGAGAACATTCATTAGTAGGTAATACTTGAGGCTCCAAAGGATGGAAATGCTTTAAAAAAATTGATGTGAATAAAAATAAAATTACTTACTTTGCTTGTTTTATTAAGTTATGACAATGCAACACTTGGGCGAGCTGCCTAAGGGGGATGCCTTCTGGGAGGTCTTTTTAAGGGTAACTGGCAGCTATTCAGGCGTGGAGAAAACCCGGAAAACTCCACCTGGCCTACCCAACCTGGCGAGGCGCAAACCCACGACCAAACTCCCAGTGTTCAGGGAACGGAACCGCTTGGCAACTGGTGGGCCGAACTACTTTGCAGCAACGTTGATATTGGCTTTGAGACCAAGGACTATGTAAAGTTAGCTGCAAAATCTCTAGTTGAGAATGGCGTTCTTTTGTTGCACACGGAATGCAGGACTTTTCTGGCTGTAATGATATCCAAGTTGAATGAGAAGTCATTACTTAGGTTTCTAATAAATAATTTTCCAACATGTTTACCCTGAAACAATTTCAAAATATGAAGGTCACATACTGTAAAATACACTAAAACAATTTTAT